ACCACCAGATGGATCCGTAGCTGGCTGACGGGCCGTACTCAACATGTGGTCCTCAATGGAACCCCATCTACATGGAGGGAAGTGTGTAGTGGGGTGCCCCAGGGCTCTGTTCTGGGCCCAGTGCTCTTCAATATCTTCATCAACGATTTGGACAAGGGGATAGATGGGGAAATCATCAAATTTGCAGACAACACCAAGCTGGCAGGAATAGCCAACACTCCAGAAGACAGGCTTAGGATACAGGAGGATCTGGACAGACTTGAACATTGGGCACTATCTAACAAAATGAAATTCAATGGTGAAAAAAGCAAGGTTCTACATTTAGGCAAGAAAAACCAAATGCACAGGTATAGTATAGGGGTACCTTGCTCAATAGTAGTAACTGTGAGAGGGATCTTGGAGTCCTAGTGGACAATCACGTAAATATGAGCCAGCAGTGTGTTGCATCTGCCAAAAAGGCCAACACAGTGCTAGGCTGCATTAACAGAGGGATAGAATCAAGATCACGTGAAGTATTAATACCACTTTACAATGCCTTGGTAAGGCCACACTTGGAATACTGCATCCAGTTTTGGTCACCACGATGTAAAAAAGATGTTGAGACTCTAGAAAGAGTACAGAGAAGAGCAACAAAGATGATTAGGGGACTGGGGGCTAAAACATATAAGGAAAGGTTGGAGAATTGGGTATGTCTAGTTTAATGAAGAGAAGGACGAGGGGGGACATGATAGCAATATTCCAATATCTCAGGGGCTGCCACAAAGAAGAGGGAGTCAAGCTATTTTCCAAAGCACCTGAAGGCAGGACAAGAAGCAACAGGTGGAAACTAATCAAGGAGAGAAGCAACCTAGAACTAAGGAGAAACTTCCTGACAGTTAGAACAATTAACCAGTGGAACAACCTGCCTCCAGAAGCGGTGAATGCTCCAACACTGGAAGTTTTTAAGAAGAGACTGGACAGCCATTTGTCTGAAATGGTATAGGGTTTCCTGCCTGAGCAGGTGGTTGGACTAGATGACCTCAAAGGTCCCTTCCAACTTTATTATTGTTATTATTATTATTATGGATCATCGCTAGCCAGCCAGATGTTCAGACTGGATTTGGCATTTTGTCTACCTATCAAGTCCTTACCCAGGACCTGAGATAGGCAGATGTGGATGTTTGATGGTATTACAAATATCGTCGCAGGATGGAAGCAGTTCCTAGTAAGGCCGCCTTTTGCAATTGACTAATAGTGAATTTGTCAATGCCAATGGTATTCAAATGGTGCTCCAGTTGTTTTGGGATTGCACCCAAGGCACCTATTACTATTGATACTACCCTTGCTTGCTTTTGCCACAGTCTTTCTATTTCTATTTGTAGGTCTTTGTATTTTGTTATCTTCTCCAGTTCTTTCTCATCTATTCTGCTGTCTCCAGGTACTGCCACGTCCACTATCCAGACTTTTTTTGTCTTTCTTACCGACAATTGTTAAGTCTGGGGTGTTATGTTGCAGGTGCTTGTCTGTTTCAATTCTGAAGTCCCAGAGCAGTTTAATTTTATCATTTTCTATGACTTTCTCTATTTTATGATCCCACCAGTTTTTGCTTACAGGCAATTGATATTTTTTGCAGATCTTCCAATGCACAATTGTTGCTACTTTGTCATGCCACTGCTTGTAGTCAGTCTGTGCAATCTTCTTGCAGCAGCTTATCAGGTGGTCCACTGTTTCTTCAGCTTCTTTGCATAGGTGGCACTTACTGTCTTTTGCTGTCTTCTCAATTTTGACTTTATATGCATTTGTCCTTAAGGCTTGGTCTTGTGCAGCCAGAATTAGTCCCTTGGTCTCTTTCTTCAATTTTCCTGCTCTTAGCCATTGCCAGGTCTTGTTATTATCTGCTTTCTCAGCTATTTTTTTAACGTATCGGCCATGTAGTGCTTTATTATTATTATTATTATTATTATTATTATTATTATTATTATTATTTAGTTCTGTAATAAAAACCTGCCTAAGATGATCAATTACAGACTGTTTATCAGGTGGTGTTGGTGGGGTTGTTTCGCAATGTTGCGAAATGTGGAGGGATTCCCTTCATCCGCCCCCCTTTTTGTATACATGTCCTAGGAGGTTGGGGGAGGTAGGGCTGCTATTTGGGGGGAAAATGGCATTTCTGCGGAAAAAATGGGTGGTTAGGGAATTCTGGGAGTTGAAGTCCACACCTCTTAAAGTTGCCAAGGTTGAGAAATACTGCTCTAGGGAATGGAAGCTGGCATAATCCATATATTATCCATATATATATATATCCTTAATGGTTGTAAAAATGCGAATCCTGGGCATATTTGTTCAATAATGCAATCTTCGATCTCCGGGAAGAGTATAATCTAGTTATTTATTGTTTAAACAATATTTAAAACAATAAAAACAGTTATATACAAAGTTAAAAACAACTTAGGTTTCGCTGGTCCTCTGCCAGCGTCCTCAGAGTGAGGCTCTGAGGACCGTTGATCTCTCGGTAGTGGGGAGTTGATTCTTGGGGCGCATCAGACTCTGCAGGCAAAAGTGATGCGCCCCAAAGATCAACTCCCCACTACCGAGAGATCAACGGTGGTTTACAAGATCAATTGTATGGATTGCCAGAGTAATTATGTAGGCGAGACATCAAAGAGGTTAAAAACATGCCTACACGAACATAAATTGGCAATTAGACGAGACGAACAACACTCACAGATTTGGGCTCACATGGCCAAGCATGACCATTGTTTTGACTTTGGGAATACTCAAGTCTTGGCCAATGATGCCACAAAGGGAGATCGCCTGCTGAAGGAAGTGTGGTACTCAGGAGTTGATTCTATCAACCGGCATGTGGATTTGTGTTCAGCACATCAGGCCCTAAGAACGTGGAGCGCGGGTGGCCGAACTAACGCCCAAAGGGGACTTTATCATGAACCCCATGGCTGGCATAAGGATACTGCTCAGAATCCTCCCCCGTTCCACCATACTAGCGGATCCTTAGTTGATACTCCCCCCTCACCAAGTAAGCAACTACCGTTGGACCGGCAACAGATCGACCCCAACGGACAACTCTTGCAGGATTCGCTGCGACCTGTTGAAAGCAAGCCCCCCCCCCAGAACGGAAAGGTACTACGTGGAACAACGGACTGGGATTAGAGGGACTGGGGAATAGACGGGATATGGTGAAGTCGGAGGAAGGCGATGAAGAGGAGCCGCCCCCCAATGAGATCGTCAGGCATGCAATGGTGACTCAGTCATGATTGAATGAAAGGAGACACCCCCCTCCAGTGTATTTAGCATGAGGTCGGGTAACTAAACAACAGTTATGATCAAGGCAGAGGAGCCCCGAGAAAGGTGACGACTGGGAGCTGGGGACGAATGAAAGTGACGCCCACTGACAATGGACTGAACAGTGGAGTGCTGTCAATGGGATGACAGCGAAAAACGCTTTGAGCATGTGTGAGAGCAGGAAGATTGGGACAGACAATAGACCACCCAGTATGATGCATGGGAAGGGGGATAGAAAGGAGAATAACACGGGGTGGAGAGAGGAATCCACAGTGCGTCCTCAAGGGATGAATAGACAGGATCGAAGTGGGCTCGTGACTCAGGGCGATACTGGAGGCAATCTAGATACCCCCCACCCTCACCCCTTAGGGGCGACCGTATGTGAGGTGATGGATGAGTTGCACACGGGGGAGGGGGGAAGACTTTGGCCCCAAATCCACCTAATCCCGAAGCTGCTGATAGAGTGGTGTGTAAGGGAATGCAAATCAGGAACAAAAAAAGTATGTGTATTAAAGGAGGTACGCTTGGGTTACATCCTGAACAGCTGGGGGAGATGATGCACTCTAGGAGCCGGAAGCAGACGCTTGACAATGGTATATAGATCTGCTCTTAGTATTTGCCTCTTAACCCTGACAATGTCAAGTGCATTTTGACGAAAGCTAGGTTGATTAAAATTTTAACGGTTGATTAAATTTTATTCTCTTAAAATACTCTCTTGGTGATCAATATTCTAATAATATATATATATATATATATATATATATATATATATATATATATATATATATATATATATATATATGCTATTAGAATATATATATATATGTTTTCTGAAGTTTTTGCAGGTGTTTGTATGTAGGTCTTTGGTTATTTGGGTTTTCTCTCGCGTCAATTTGACGCGGGAGAAAACCCGAATAACCAAAGAACTACATACATACATACATACATACATACATACATACATACATATATATATGTTTTCTGAGGTTTTCGCAGGTGTTTGTATGTAGGTCTTTGGTTGTTTGGGTTTTCTCCCACGTAAAATTGGAAGTGTCTTGGCGACGTTTCGACGAAGTCCCATTCGTCATCTTCAGGCTGGTGTTTTCAGCTTCGTGCTTCGAAGCACGAAGCTGAAAACACCAGCCTGAAGATGACGAATGGGACTTCGTCGAAACGTCGCCAAGACACTTCCATTTTTACGCGGGAGAAAACCCGAACAACCAAAGACCTACATATATACACACACACACACACACACACACACACACACACACACACACACACATCTCCGGAGGATAGCCTAAAATTTGTACTTAAATTTATAGTCATAAAGGAAATTCAGAGATTTGGCAAGTCATGTGCAAAGAATTCCCGGGTTAAGGATGACATTTCCCTTCTCTTTTACCACAAATCCCCAGACTATTGACCTTCAAATGTGAACTTTTAAAAAGGATTGGGTAAGTTCTTTTGTGACACTATCTATTGTGTGTATGCTGCAATGTTGGGAGCAGCAACGTGATGTCCTTCTAAATTATAGTCATACCGTGACAACAACACTGGAGAGGATTAAGAGAAAATGAGTGAAAGATGACTTAAAGTGACAGGTGATTGACTGTGGACTTTTAGCTCAGGCTGCCGTCTTCTAATTCCTTCCAAATTCTCCAAGGAAGTTCTAGTGAAGGTGGTGGCATGAGCTCCAGGTAACCAAAATCATGCTGGGTTTTAATGGGTTCAGTGCCCAAAGGGCATTTAATGTTATCTGAAGCCCGGGTCTCGTCTTCCTGCCAGAGCACTCCTGTTTGTGAGTTTTCTAAAGCTATAAATGGAAACTCTAGCTAGGAAGAAATTATCACCCAGGCATTCCGATCCAGTCCAGTCTCACCACTAGAGTGTGGGCAGTCATGGTTTCCAACACCTAGCCAGTTAAGCTCCTTCTTTTTGGGATTTAAATCTTTCTCTTGCTGGGAAATGGAGATAGAAAAATGTAAAAGACTCTCTTCAGCAAAAGACAAGTTATCCCAAGAGAAGCTGAAGGTAGGATGCAATTTTCCTTGGTGTTATTATGCAATATTAAGATACTAGAGGCCGAGAAGAAAAGTAGTTACTATTTTTATACTTCCTCCAGTGACCTTAATGATTAACTGGTTCAGCCATGGGGTGTTGAAATTAATTGTGCTATAATCTTTCAGCAGGGATTATGGAACTTCTTAATCGATATTTCCCTGGCTATGAATTTTTCAGATGGTAAATCCTGAATCTGCAAATGCTCAGTGTGTAGTGTTGTCCCAAAATAAAACAATTCTATAATTTGCTAAATCTTACAGTATGCTGGGTATTATATGACTGGGTATGAGAAAGAGAATCTTGGAAGAAGCAGCTGACAAAATGTTCTGTTTCATTTTGTTTACGCTACTTCCTGATTACAACTTCAGTGAGAAAAATAGAATTTGCTTGTGCCAATAGTTGTTATTCCCAGAGGCAACGAGGTGCCATGTTATTCCTGACACTGGAAATTATGAGAGAGAGGGGGGGGAGGGAGGGAGGAAAAGAAGAAGAAGGGAAAAACCCTTGCAGTCACTCATATTGAATGACAAATTAGAAATAGTATCACATTCTTAAATAAGAATGTCATAACATTAAGAACACTAGAGTTATCGGTTTTCTGTTATAAACAGAACTGTCTGCATCTATGTCTGGGCTACAAAACTCCAGACAAGGCTAGATGGTAGCAGATGTCAGATAAACAACTCTTAAAAACTCTACTGCTACCTACTGGTTGCTTGGGTTTTTGCATTCCTGATATGGTAATCTTGGACTGCTTCTTTCCGAATTTATATGTTAGCAAAACTGTTAGTCCTATTTCAATCCTTTTAATAGACTCTAACAATTTAAATATTGGAGAAAATATAAAAACTGAAGTGGGCCACTCCACTATTTTACACCTGTTCCTCATTTATTGAAAGGTTTCTCCTCAACTGTTAAATGTTGCCTGGACTGGTTAGAGGAGGAGGAAGGGGAGGAGGGAGGAAGAAGAGGAGGAGGAGGAAGAGGAGGGGGAGGAGAAGGAGAGGAGGAGGAGGAGGAGGAGGAGGAGGAGGAGGAGATGATTCAGATCAGACCAGACACTGTCAAAAACGTTTTCCAGAGAAATAGTTTTAAGCAATACAGTTAGTCCTAACTTATGATTACAGCTGAGCCCAAAATTTATGTTGCTAAGTGAGCCATTTGTTATGTGAGTTCTCCCCCATTTTAGAAGCTTTCTTGCCACAGTTGTGAAGTGAATCACTGCAGTTATTTAGTAACGTGGTTAGTAAGTGAATCTGGCTTCCCGCATTGACTTTGCTTGTTAGAAGGTCACATGATCCCCGGACACTGTAATCATCATAAATATGAGTCAGTTGCCAAGCGTCTGAATTTTGATGACATGGCCATGGGGATGCCACAATGGTTGTAAGGGTGAGAAATGGTGATAAGTCACTTTTTTGGGTGCTGCTGTAACTTTGAAGTATTGTTAAGTCGAGGACTACCTGTATATGTGTGGATAAAGTAACAACAAGTACTGTTTAAACAGATCCTTAAACTAACCAAAGGCAGGGCACAGGACTGGCCACTGGATTATTAATGACATTGGAAGACATGTGTGGGTGGATTATCTATATATAAACGTCGCAGATTACATTCCACCATTTAAAAATCTAATAGTGCTATAAAGTTCTTGCATGGCTCCTAATTTTCAAGGCCACTTTGGACATTTTTGTATCCCAGACAGAACATTTCCTAAATTCCCTTCACATTATTAAGGGTAAACATTGCAATAATTATAATCAATCAAACATCCAAGAAGTTATTGCTCCTTGAGGATACCTGAAGTAAACCATCTAAGAATGGCAATATTATTTTACCTAATGGTAGGGCTGGCCTTTAATGCACTGCAGTGAAAAGAAGGGAAAAGCACCTGTGAACCAGCCCTTAAGAGCTTCCCTTGCAGCTGTCTGCAACATTGTCTGTAGCAGTCCCTGGTTCTTTTCACGCATCAGAAATTTCAGCTTCTATTCGAAATGAGGCAAATAGATTCCTAGCATTATAAGCATCTGAATCCTGATTCTGCCCAGCTTAGTATATGTGATCATGTAGGCCCAGAGATCATTTAAAGAAACAATAATGCTCACATGATGCTGGACTAAGATTACTGAGCATACTAGTGATAATTGGGCATTGGGTACAGACTTGGTCCCTTTCAAAGTTCTGCCAAGGATAGCAGATAAACATGTTGCTCTCTTGACCAATCGAGAAGGCATTCCCACCACCCATCCCCTGCCCCCAGTTCCACAAATAGAAAGCAATCTCACTGGCAGTTGAACCTTTCTTTCTATTTCAGCAGTAGGACAGTGTCCTTAAGGACACCTGATAATTATCACTTATAAGTGAACTCTACCTTACAGCAGGGGTCCTCAACTTTGGCAACTTTAAGACTTTAGACTTCAACTTCCAGAATTCCTCAGCTAGCTTTGCTGGCTGAGGAATTCTGGGAGTTGAAGTCCACAAGTCTTAAAGTTGCCAAGGTTGAGGACCCCGGCCTTACAGGATATAGGATTGATCTTGATTGCCTGAAATTGCTATCCTGGTATGCCTTAGGTCAGGGGTAGGCAACCTTGGCTCTTTTATGATTTGTGGACTTCAGCTCCCAGAATTCCTGGTCCACAAGTCATAAAAGAGCCAAGGTTGCCTACCCCTGCCTTAGGTCTTAGGACAGGGGTCTTCAAACTTGGCCCCTTTATGACTTGTGGATTTCAACTCCTGGCTGAGGAATTCTGGGAATTGAAGTCCACAAGTCAAGCCAAGTTTGAAGATCCCTGTCTTAGGACAACATCAGCAACTCTGCCTGAACTGAGAGACTGAATCCTCAATTGTCCTTCAAACCAGAGCATCTGTGTCCTTGGCTGCAGATTGAGGGTTAACACTGCATTTCTTACCCCATTTAATACTATAAAAATGTGGAGAAACTGCAGCATTCTTGGAAATCAGGAGTCTTAATATTTGGACTATCAAAGTGCTGCTTCTCTCGTGGATGATCATTTGTGATACTTTAATAATCTCCTGTCTCTGCGAAGAGAAGTTGCAATCCTTTCATGAAATGTGGCTTTTTCACACATACACTATGCATACATAGCCTTTCTTGAACATAAAACTATTGGTTCAGTTTTTTCCCCCAAGATATTGGACAAGTTCCTTATAGATACTAAATCCCAAAGACTACAAAACACGACATCTTTTGACATTTGTATTCTCAACAGCCTTTGGAAACTGTTATTTTACTAATTATTTAGGAACTCTTGATACCCAATTTATCAAGTTATCCTTTTTGCAGGGGTGGAGTGGAAGGTGGAGTGCAAATTACAATGTATGTCTTACCTTCCTATGCTAAATCGGGATTCAGGACAATTTCCAGAAATTAGCATTTCAAACATGAGAGGGGTTGACATTTTTGGACAAACAGGCAGAGTTGTGCGCTGTGAAGGCTCAATCTGAATATTAATTCAAAGCCTCCTTTGTCTTGTCTAACAACTGATTCTCTTTGCCAGTTCTGATGCCTCTCACCCTCCAGGGAAATTAATTGTGATATTTTAATCTCTTTTGGATAATTAGGAACTCATCAGTGGTGAGGAGCTTCAGCTGTCATAACTCCCTAATGGCTGATGGTGTGAATTGCCTTGAGAGACAGTAACCACCATCCTCCATTTGGGTTTTCTCCAGTACAAAATGCTATGATTTTATCCTCGTTTCTTCGCTTGACATTTAAGCTCCATCCGTGCAGGTCTCTCTGCTCAACAGAGGTCAGGGGAGAAAGCGCGCACCCAGACTTTCAGCCAGAAGCTGATGGCTTCTTATACAGGTATTCATCAACTTGCTACCACAACTGAGCCCCAAATGTCTGTTGCTAAGTGATACGGTTGTCAAGTGCGTTTTGCCCTATTTTATGACCTTTCTTGCCACAGCAAATCATTGCAGTTGTTAGTAATGTGGTTGTTAAGTGAATCTGGCCTCCCCATTGACTTTGTCAGAAGGTCACAAAAGGGGATCACCTGAGCCCAGGACATTGTAAGTGTCATAAATATGAGTCAGTTGCCAAGGGGTCCAAATTTTGATCATGTGACCGTGGGGATGTTACACCGGTCGTAAATGTGAAAAAGGTCATAAATCACCTTTTCCAGTGCCGTTGTAACTTCAAATGGCCACTAAATGAACGGTTGTAAGTCGAGGACTACTTGTACATCTGGTGCCAAATGAATGCTTCCTATTCAAATCTCCCCCTTGATTCTAAACAAACTTTGGGTCATGGTTGCAATTGCTGATCAATAATTCCCAGGTCTGAATACTCTGCAATACTACAGTGAAACTATTTCCCATCTTTTCTTTGCACTGCATTTTCACATAGCTAACTAACTGGGTTGGGCTCCCTAGTATGACTGAGGGAGGAACTGAAGCAGGAGATAAAGTTACTGTCTGGCACATCCATCCTAAACATTCAAGAAAACATGGCGGTTGGGCACCACCACAAAAAGGGAGTAGTAAGGTGTTTGTAATGTTGAGCTGCTGGGCAAGCCGATACATGCCTCTTGTTCAAAGCACACATTTCTTGATGGAACAAATCTCTGGATTCGGACCAAAAGGTGCAGAATATCAAGGACGCCAATAAATCCATCCAAGTTACTCAAAATGTATGGTCAGCATTATTTGCCTAAATGTGTAGCTACTGGGCAGCCTGCTACTATGTTTGCTGTAAATCAGCAGCAGGAGAACCACTATTTCTTTCTGATTTGGATGAAGGGACTAATCTGCCTTTGATGTTTGAAGCTACTCTCCCAAAGCAGGAAAGGTACAAAACAAAAATTGGGTGACACCAGGGCAAAAATGAAATGTTAATTTAACGGATTCACTTTAATTCAAGTTAAAAGAGCTGATGTAGTTCCCATCCTCAAAAAAGGAAAAAAAATGGATCCAGGAAATTACAGACCTATCAGCCTGACCTCAAT